CTGGGAGAGGCTGTAGTAGTGAATTCTGAGCAGTTCCAGACCTATCCCTGTGGGGCTTTCCCTAGCCTGGGCACCCTGCCCATTCAAGCCCCCAGGGAGGCCTGAGTTCCCTCTTAGCAGGCTGACCTTTGTGCAGATCCCAGTGCTTTAGAGCATTTGTTCTGGGGAAGGCAGATTGCAGTGAAGAGTTCCTTCCTCTCCCTTCCCTATAGGGAATTCTAGGATAAACCAGGGCTAATAGTCAAGGTAGTGTAGAAAATGACTACTCCTCTTCTGTCTTAATCTTGGTCCCTCTGTGTCAAGAGGACCTCTAAGCTGAGGTGAAGACAAGGTTTTATGGTGATTTGGAGCAAGTTCTGGATACCTTGTCCTTTTCTGAAAATTGTTTTGCACCTCTGGCCCTGATCCTGCTTTCTTCCTCCTTGAACATGGAAGGAAATGTGGAATTTTCCACCCCCAATGTGGGCTGGGAGGAGGGGAGATTGGGCAGGGACAGTTATACCCAGCACCAGCAGGTTCTAAGGTGCCCCTGGGCAATGAAGGTGGAGCATTGGCAGGTAAAGAGTTGTTCCAGCTTCTTCCAAGGTGCCTTTGCCTCCTCCCTTTGCCCTTTCACTGAGGTTGAAAGTGTACTTCCTCCTCAAGACCAGCTTCTGAGGGCCCTGTTGGCTATCACCTCTTACTTCCTGGGCCCTGTGTACCCCCCAGGTAACTGGCACTTTGGAGAGGAGGGACAGGTAGGGAGGCCTCAGTGGAGCTGAGCACCTTACCACAGTCACCCCCTTAATGACCCATCCTGTTCTGCAGGAATGACACCAAGGAGGATGTCTTTGTTCACCAGGTAAGAGCTAGGTTTGGCTTTTTAAGGGGAAGAACTGGCCTTGTCTTTGAAGGCCTTTGCCATAAACCCTTAGCTGCACACTATTGTTTATCCAGCTCTTAACTGCACCATGGCCTGCCCGCATGGAAATAGATGCCCTCCCACCTGCCCCAGGTGCCTGTATCAACCACACTTGTGTTGGGTTACTGAATGGCCATCAAAATTGTACGTGTTGTCCTCGAAGTATGGCATGCTCACCACCTTCTGGGACCTGTTAATACCACAGGAAAGAACTGGGCAATTTTCTGAGGGAAAGAACTCAGGCCAGAAAGACTGACTTGGGTGCTGTGGGTCTCAAAAGTGTGGTCCCTGCACCTGCAACAGCAGCAGCAGCACCTGACATCTAAGCTCAGCCCTACCCCAGCTACTCAATCAGGCTTGGGGCTGGGGTCCAGTGTTCTTGTTTAGCAAGCTCCCAGGTGATTCTGCTGCTCACTAGTTTGCGAACCACTGCTTTGGTGGAGAGAGCTCTCAGTGGGATCGAGGTAAGAAGCACAGTATGTTTTACCTACTTTGCCACTGTAGACCATCTCTACTTTTTAAAGTTTACAGTCTTGCCCCCTGCTTATTTTTGAAGTCTGAGAGAGGAAGAGAAGAATGTCTTGAGACTGCAGTAACTTCACAGTGGGTTCCCAGGCCCCTAATTTATGACTCCCCCCACAATTTTTTGGTGGTTCTGGGATCCAACCAAAATCTAAGTAGGCCAGCGCCCCAACCCCACCCCTTCCCAGACTACTTTGACTATCTTCTTGCTCTACCTCCAGTCCCAGACCCCAAGTAAAATGTTGAAAAGAATGGGCGTCAGTGGCTCACACCTGTAAGCTAGCTACTCAAGAAGCTGAGATCTGAGGATTGTGGCTTGAAGCCAGCCCAGGCTGGCTCTTACTTCCAGTTAACTGTCAAAAACTAAAAACAAAAAGTCAGAAGTGGAGCTGTGGCTCAAGTGGCGGGTAACTAGCCTTGAGCAAAAATGCTCAGGGACAGTACCCAGACCCTGAGTCAACCCCTAGGACTGGCACCTAAAAATAGATAAAAACAATGCAATTGGGTGGAGGATGGCAGCAGGGTTGAGACCTGGTCTTGCTGCCCTCACTTTTCTCATTGCCTTTCCCCCACCCAGACAGCTATTAAAAGAAACAACCCCAGGAAGTTTCTGCGTAGTGTTGGAGATGGAGAGACTGTGGAGTTTGATGTCGTAGAAGGAGAGAAGGTTTGGTGGTGGTGGTGGTAGGGGGTGTTTCTCTGTGTGTGCGTGTGTATTATGGGCCAGGGTTGTAGGGAGGTAGCCTGGAAGTCAGCCTGGGCTTTACTCAGTGGAACCAGCTTTGCCTCTGATTGTGGGGATGGGGCTATATTCTCTCACCAAATGTTGTCTTAGCAATTGGACTGCTGTAAGAAGTGTCCTAAAGAATATGACCCTTTCATCAATCAGTAGTGTCTGCATTTCTTCTTTGCATGTAGTTCACCAAACACTTCCATGTCGGGCTGGGAAGGTGGCTCAGTGGTAGAGTGCTTGCCTTGAATGCATGAGACCCTGGGTTCAATTCCTCAGCACCATAAGCAGAAAAAGCTGGAAGTGGCGCTGTGGCTCAAGTGGTAGAGTGCTAGCCTTGAGCTGAAGAGCTGAGGGCCAGCGCTCAGGCCCAAGGTTCAGACCCCACGACCAACAACAACAACAAAACAGCCCACTTCCATGTCTCTTTTCCTCATGGAGCCCTGACCCTAGTAGGGTTCTCAGAGCCTCCCCTCTAGATTGAAAGAGATATGGCCCTTTCTGTCCACCTAACCCCAGTCTGGGGGGATTGTCATATTTTTCAAAGGATAGGTTGCTTCTTTTCAAATGGGAAGAACTCACTTTTCCATGGGGTGGGAGAGAAACCAGTAGAGGTTCCAGGAGCCACAGGATATCTGGAGGGAGATCTCTGGCTGGAAGCAGGGGACTCAGTTCTAGCAAACAGGTAGCTATGTATTTGGCATGGGGTGAGCTCTGACTTCCTCTTGTACTCTCCAGGGTGCAGAGGCTGCTAATGTAACTGGACCCGGGGGGGTGCCCGTGAAGGGCAGCCGGTATGCCCCCAACCGACGTAGGTTCCGCCGATTCATCCCTCGACCTCGCCCAGCTGCTCCACCACCCATGGTAGCAGAGGCTCCCTCGGGTGGGACAGAACCTGGCAGTGAAGGGGAGCGGGCTGAGGACTCCGGGCAGCGGCCCAGACGTCGGCGTCCACCACCCTTCTTCTATCGTCGACGGTTTGTGCGAGGCCCTCGGCCCCCCAATCAGCAGCAGCCTTTAGAGGTGAGGGAATGCCAGCTGTCCGTATACAAGAGAAAAAGTGAGAGTAGAGACCACAGGGTCCCCAAAGGAAATGCATCAGAGGGCTGGGAAGCTCCTGCACAGTTGACGATCCATAGCCCACCTAGGACTTGTACTTCCCAGGGCACCGACGGGGTAGAACCCAAAGAGACAGCTCCATTGGAGGGAGACCAACAGCAAGGAGATGAACGGGTGCCCCCACCCAGATTCCGGCCCAGGTACCGAAGGTAGGACTCCCGTTCTGCAGCTCATCTTCTCTTGCCTTTTTCAAAAGTTCAGTGTTGGGCCCTTGGGGATGGCGAGCCTGGGGGAGACCCTGGAGGGAGGCAGTCTACTCTAGGTTTCTTGGTTCCTTTTCTCCCTAGGCCCTTCCGCCCCAGACCGCCGCAACAACCTACCACCGAAGGTGGGGATGGTGAGACCAAACCCAACCAAGGCCCCACTGATGGGTCTCGGCCTGAACCCCAGCGCCCACGAAATCGCCCCTATTTCCAGCGGCGACGGCAGCAACCTCCTGGCCCCAGGCAGCCCACAGCCCCAGAGGTGAGGATCTTGGGTATCTAAAACTCTGGGAATGAAGTGCAAGAACAATTGAGACCCCCCCCACCCTCTTTTCTTTTTTTTCCTTCTCTTCTTATCCTGTCCCTTTGCATCTCAGCTCCCCTGGCCCCGCCCCTCTGGGCAGCCCACTGGCTCTGCTGCTGGCCACCACCCCACCCATCAGGAAACCTAGCTGAGGCAGGCAGACAAACCCCTGTCACCCCCACAGAACCCGCTCTCCCAAGCTTTCCTTGGAACCCAAACACTAGCTTGTAGGTGTGGATTGTGGAGACTGGCTGCAGAAGGCTGGGAAAGGGGAAAGTGGGAGAAAGACGAAGCAGAGGGCTCTAAAGAAGAGGAGTCTTAATTGGCCACTGCTGTTCTCTTTAGACCTCAGCCCCCATCAACAGTGGGGACCCCCCCCACAACATACTGGAGTGATTCCAACTCAAAGGACACCCAGAGCTACCATCTGGTTAGCGGCTGCTCCTCTCAGGGCGGGTAGCTAGAAGGCAAGGGACTGGGTTCTGATGATAAGTTATCCTCCTTTATGATTTGTCGTCTTTTTTTTTTTTTTTTTGCCCTCAGGTATCTGCCAGTTTTTCCAACTGACCCTACTCAGCACCCCCTCCCCTCTTTCCCATAATTCATGACATCGAAACACCGGCTTTTCCCTTTTTCCTTGAGACTCAGGAGGGCTAAAGCAACAGCCTTTTGCCTTTTTTTGCCCCTCTCTCTTCCCTACTATGGGTTGAAGGAAGGGATTCATCCTTATTATTCAGAGGCATCAACTCCCTCCCCTAAGTCAGGCTGTTAAAGAATCAGCCAGCTCTTAACCTCCTCCTGGTTGTTTTTCTTTCCCACCCAGTTTATTTTTTGTTTCCCACCCCCACCCCCTCTGAAGCCATTTTATGAACTGTCACGTGCCACCTGAGCCTCCAGTAAAAACAAAAACAGGCCTTCCTGTTGTCTTGATCTCTGCTGCTTCTCTTTTTTAGAGAATCGGGGATCTCTAGTAACTGCCACAGAGAGGGAGGGGAATGTGTGCAGTGGGCGGGACCTGTCTTGACCCTGGCTCCAGCATCCATAGCTGTGCAGCTATTGACAAGGACCCTCATTACTGTGAAGTGGGGCATAAGTGCCAGCATACGGAGGATTCTGAGACCGTGAGCTGAGGCAGGACTGAATGAGAAGGGGTGAGCAAGGGGGTTATGGTCACTGTCTTAGCCCACCTTCCAATGCCTATATGACAGGACACTCATGCAGTGACTTTATACATGTATATATACACATTTAATACAGCAGCCCTTTGATGGCTGCTCCCTGCCCCTTATCCATACATATACAAAAATATCTAAAGGCTCCCTCCCACCAATGTTAGCAGACAGCCTTACAAATCAAAAGCCTGTGGGTACAGGTTGCAAGTAGAGTGAGTTGGGCCCCCACTTGGCAGTCTTGGCAATCAGAATAGGGTCCCAAAACTAGAGTGGGTGCCTGCTGCCCTTTCTTACCACATGCGGGTATATACTGTCATGTGTTCCCTTTCACCCTGGAAGGCTGAACCTAAAGGGAGGGAGGAGAGGCACGATTTGGGGAGGTTTTGTCCTTTGCCCTGGAGGGGTCAAGACAGAATCCCCTTCACCTAGAGTTGGTGTGGCAAGAGTGTGGGAGGAGCTGAAGTTGGTGGGAAACTTGACTTGTCAGTCTGACATCCTGCTCTCTGCTTATGTTTGTCCCACTAAAGAAGCAGGCGAGGATCTCCCTTCCTGCAGTTCCCCTTTTCTAGAAGGGATGAAGTATTCTGGAGCTAGGTCTGGGTTGAGGCAGGAGGAAGGGGGGGGAGGGTCAGGGGAGAGTGGCCCACACCAATGGCCATGGCCTAACCACCACACATAAATAATCCAAGAGTCACACAGGGGAATGAAAGGGTGCTCAGACCATCCATCCCTCTAGCTTCCCACTTCTACCAGGTTGTAGGATTTTTCCACACTGGAAGTAATGGGATAGAGAGGGTTAAAGTGCCGCAGAGGAAAGGAGGGGTCTCAGAGGCGGAGGAGCTGGTTCTCTCTCTGGCCTTGGCCCCTCAGTCATTCTCATCTGGCCCTAAGTATTCCAGTTCCGTGCTGGGTTTCACCTCCTGTTCTAAAAGAGAGGGTGTCCGGCGGAAGGCGGCTGAGATCTGGTCAAATGTCCGGCCTCGAGTTTCAGGCACTTTTAAGAAGGTGAAGATGAAGAAGCCAAGCAGGAGGACGGCAAATAGAAGGAAGACGTAGGGACCCATAGCATCCTGGGACAGGTAGAGAAAGAAAAAAGATGTTGGCAGAGGGGTGAGGAGGGAAAAGGTGGACTCAGGCAAGCAGGAATTAAAGCTTTTTATAGGGATCTGGGGATGCTACAGGTGACCCCTTCAAGGACAATGGAAATGACCACAAATAAGAATTTACACTGAAAAAAAGGACTCTTTCAGAACCCTATCACCTTTGTTTTTGCCCTCTTCACTATCCTGTGTTACTGTGTTTGGAGTAGATTCCCAGCCATTTGTATTAATATGAAGCTTATTTTATTCCTGTTCTAAGTGAAGTTATGTCACTGGTTTGTTCAAAGACACAACTGTTGCCATCCAATATAGTTCTGCCCCCTTGTCTCCTTAGACCCCAGGGAAGCAGCTCACTAAAGTGACCCAAAGACCAACAGTTAGGGACTGGGGGGGGTGTCTCTGGCTAGAAACCAAGTGGGCTAATGGTGAGTTGCACTTGGTATCCAGTTTGGGAGAGTGGGACAGGGGTGGAGGACCTACCGCAATATACTGGAAACCCATGCCAACGATGAAGTTGCACGTCCAGTTGGAGAAACCAGCCACCGCCATTGCTGCTGGGCGGGGTCCCTGGCTAAAGAGCTCAGCCACAATGAACCAGGGGATGGGGCCAGGGCCAATTTCAAAGAATGCCACAAAGCCAAAGATGGCCACAATGGAAACGTAGCTCATGGCTGGAACCCGCTCCTAAAGAATAGGAAAACTGTTCAAATCTTTCAGGATCTTTCCTTGCTCTTGGCTCAGAGAACTGAAATTACTTTAAAAAATTATTTTTGTGATGCTCCTGGGGCTTGAACTGTCTGGTCCCTGAGTTGTTTTTTGGTTGTGGGGCTTGAACTCTGGGCCTGGGCTCTGTCCTTCAGCTCTGCAGCTGAAGGCTGGAGCTTTACCACTTGAGCCACAGCGCCACTTATGGTTTTCTGGTGGTTTATTGGAAATAAGAGTCTCATGGACTTTCCTTCATGGGCTGCCTTTGAATTACAATCCTCAGATCTCAGCCTCCTGAATAGCTAAGATTACAGGTGTGAGCCACCAGTGCCTGGCTTGTCCCTGAGTTTTGTTTTTTTTTTTTTTTTTGCTCAAGGCTAGCCCTCTACTACTTGAGCCACCCCTACTTCCAGATTTTTTTGGTGCTTAATTGGAAATAAGAGTCTCATGGACTTTTCCTGCCCAGGCTGGCTTTGAACTGCAATCTTCAGATCTCAGCCTCCCGAGTAACTAGGATTACAGGTATAAGCCACTAGCCCCTAGCAAAATCCACCCTTTGTGCCTGGGGTGGGGTGGGGAGGGGGTGATGGGGGGTTGTCTGTGGCTCACACCTGTAATCCTAGCTACTTAGCAGGCTGAGATCTGAGGATTTCAGTTCAAAGCCAGCCCGGGTAGAAAAGTCTGTGAAACCCTTATCTCCAATAAGCTACCAGAAAACCAGAAGTGGCGCTGTGGCTCAAGTGGTAGAGTGCTTGCCTTGAGCTGAAGAACTGAGGGACAGGGCCCAGGCCCAGAGTTTAAGCCTCACGACTGACCACCTCCCCCTCCACCGCAAAAAAAAAAACAAAAAACAAAAAAACCTGTCCTTTGTATCAGCTTGGGGGAAGTATTTTCTGAGTTAGATCAGACCTCTTCCTTCTCTTCTACCTTGTCCTTTCCCCCTTCTCTTCCCTCTTCTCTTCCATTCCTCTGTTTTAGGAGAAGTGGAGAGATGGGCAGGGTCTCACTATAAGATTTAGCCCGGGCTAGCCTTAAATTTATGATTTTCTTGCCTCAGTCTTCCAAGTGCTGATGCTTGGCTTCCCCACCCCCATACTGGAGATTGGAACTGAGCCTGGCATATGCTAAGCAAGCTATCTACCACCTGAGCCACACCTCTGACCATTTTTTGGGAGATAGGGTCTCACTTTTTCCCCTAGCTGGCCTCAAACTCTTGATCTTCCTGCCTCCCACAGAGCTGGAATCAAAGACATACTTAACTGTGCCTGCTTCCCTGGAGCGATTCTGAACACTAGCATTCTCTGGGCACCCCAAGTAGATTCAAGGAAGAAGGTGTGTTTTTCCTATGCTGGCCAATTGCCCCTCAGCTCTGATTCTTAGGAATTATTGCTCTTAAGGCTTGATGTGCATACTCTCTGGTTTGGCTGCCAAACCTGTGCTATAGCTACCTCCCAAGGCAGGCCCAGCACAGCCTGGCTCCCTCAGAAAAACCAACCATGGTTTCTGACAACTGAAGCCAATACAGGCTTGTCCCAGGATTTCAAGGCATAAGTGTTAAGGTCTGGCCCTGGCAAGCCACAGAAGCTCCTGGGCTTGTTCCTTTCCTTGGTGTATTGGGCAGACCCTCCCAGCGCCCAGGCCTCACCAGCAGAAGCAGAGCCACAGTCATCAAGATGGCACAGCCACACATGCCCGCCAGGCCTAGGAGATGGAGAGTCCGACGCCCAGCCCGCTCCACCAACAGCACCTATAGGGAGAGTCAGAGCTTGGCAGGGGGGTACAGGAAGTTGAGAGGACTTGGGTGGTTAGGGACAGCCCTTCACAGTGCTGTGAAGCCAGTGTCACAGGCAATTCCACAGGCAGATATTTACCGACACTAAGGTGAAGACAGTGTTGACTACGCCAGCTCCTATGGTGGCATAAGCTGGCTGAGCCACTCCTGCAGACTCAAAGATGCTGGTTGAATAATAAAAAACCTAGAGGGAAAGGAGGAGCAAAGAGGATGGCAGCGATGACTTGTTCTCCACCCTAGCCACACCAAGCTAGACTGACCCTAAGTATTGGAGAGGAGGAGGCTGCCCCCTTTTCCCTTCCCCTGGCCTGATGCATGACCCATGCCCTGCCAGGAGGCCGCTCCATACGTACAGCATTGATGCCTGAGAGCTGCTGGCTCAGCTGCAGCACAACTGCAATGACCAGGGGCTGCCGGTGGGTGCGGCTGCCCAGGAGCTGGAGCAGGGACAAGGGTCGCTCACGCTCCAGTTTCCGCTTCTCATCCTTCAGCTCGGCCAGCACATCAGACACATCTGCCCAGCCCGTCAGGCGCTTCAGACCTGGGGGTGGGGAGGGTCAGGCCTGACAGGGCCTGAGAGGAGGCCGGGTGCTAAAAGAATGGGGTGGAGGCAGGGGCCTGAGCTATACAAGGGCCGAGTGCTCACTCTTTCGGGCGGGCCCCTCCAGGTTCCGGATGATGTAGAGGTAGCGGGGGCTTTCCGGGCAGAAGGGTAGCAGGATCAATTGTAGTAAGGCAGGGAGCACTGTGATGCCCAGGAGCAGTGGCCACAGGGTGGCAGTGCCCAGCATGGACTCTAAACCCAGCACCTGTGGGAAAAATTGGGAAGAAGGGCAGGTAACTCGGGGATCCAGCCTGACTCTGGTGGCCCATCCCAACCCCCCCCCCAAGGCCTGGCCTATTCACCTGGGCAATTAGAATGCCAATGACAATGGCCAGTTGGTTAAGTGTCCCCAAGGCACCCCGAAGATGAGTGGGAGCAATCTCTCCCACATACATGGGCACCAGTCCTGACGTTAGCCCTGGAAAGTGGGAAGAGAGGGCTGAGGGGAGTTGCCCACATCCATCCAGAAGCCCAGGTATGGTGAAGGAGAGCAGGGCTCAGGACAGGGATGTGGTGCTCATGAGTACCTGAGTAGGCGCCAATTAGGAACCGTCCGAGAATGAGTATCTCATAGGAGGCAGTGGCATTGGCCAGCCCCATGAAGGTGCCCCCTAGCACAGCCAGGGCATTGTTGGCCAGCATAGCCCTTTTCCTGGAGGGCAAAGAGTGGGGCTGTGAATGTCAGAATACCCACGCTGTGGCTCCCCAACCACTCCCCCACTTTTGTTCCCCAGCCCCATACCTTCCTAGCCACTGAGAGATGATGCCAATGAGGAAGGAGGAAATCATGCCGCCCACAGAAAAGATGGCCACAGAGAGAGCCCAGAGGGTGGTGAGGGTGCCTGGCGGGATGGAACCAGGTCCCTCAGGCCCCTGCCTCCCCAGCCACGTGGCATTGTAGCTCTGTTCAATCACCTGGAGGGGGGGAACAGCATGGAAGTGATTCCCTGCAGACCCTTCCCTTCCTACCACCCCTGAGGAACCCCTAAACCTGCAGGTCACCTCACCTTCTGAGGGGCATTGATAACCCCAATGTTGTAGCCAAATTGCAGAGAACCAAGCACAGCAGAGAACACGGCAAGGACTAGGGTCCCAGTCACTGGCTGCTGAGGAGGCTCCCCGTCCTGAACAGACAGAAGGCAAGAGGGCCATGTCACATACAATCACGCGTTCTTGTCTTCTGCCAGGGGCCAGCTTGAAGCCTACAGATGCTGGGTTCCATCCAACATGCACAGTGAGAGAACTGGACCATATTAGGAATTGTTACCAAGATCTCACTATAAACAGGAGCACCCAAAGGGAACACAGTTGAGAAACTGGATGTTTGAGAGTCCACAGGCAGAGACACTTTGAGGACCTAAGTCCTAAGATTCATTCCCCTGTGACCTTGGGGCACACTCAGATTTGTGTGACCTTGGGTAAGTCACTTCTCCATGCTGAACGGAATCTAGGTTTCCTTTTCTGGAAGGTGATGTTGCCCCACGCTGGGCTACCTTGTCAGTGAGTATGGTGAACATCAAACTCAGATGCTCACAGTAATCCTGACAGTGCTGGTTTTATAAACTGACAAGTGCATTATTATCATCAGTCACTGTTCTCTCCCCTCCCTTGTGGGGGTTCTCTCAGCCAGCCAGGAGGCCCCCAGCAGGCACCCAAAAGGGCATTTCCAAAAAGGACATCCAGGTCATTCCTGAGGTAACCATCTATGTCTCTGCCTTGCCCCCCCCTCCCCTGTTTCCAAGCTGCAAGCAAAGGTTGGGGGGCTGTGCAGAGATTCTTGCCAAGGAGAACCATGCCCATGGGAAGAGAGGCATGGTGGCGTGAGGGGCGGTGGCCACGGTGGCTGCTTGCTGGCGGCACAGACTGTCTCCAAGCGGAAACCTGAGCTGGGGGGGGGGAGGGGGTGACACTCCCCTCTGCCCCTCCACCCATCACAGGGCTGAGAGAAAGTTCAGCGTCCTGGAGGGCGCCCAGGAATGGGGGTGGGGACTACAGAGTGCCTCCAGTCCTCGAAACACCGCAGGGCCCAGCAGACAGACAGCTTGTGGAAGGTGGACTTCTGCTTTTCCCAGTTGAATAGAAGGTAGAGTGCCCCCAAACCCGACTCCGAGTGCCGCGGAATAGGAAAGAAGACAAGACTCCGGATCCCTAGAGTCCACTTGCAGACTGGGCCCCATGAAGGTCCCCCGGACCCGCTCTGTCTCTTGACAGGATTGGAATTCGACAGTCACGGGTTGTCTAGGCCGGGTATAAATAGCCTGCTCCCACATCCACCCCCTGCGCCAGTGCAGGGACCGCCCCCTAATTGACCCCGACAGCGACCCCAGCCCCAGAAAAGCCAGACTTGTATCCCCGGCCCCCGGCCCGCCCCTGCAAGCCAAACCCTACTTCAGAGCCGATCTGTTGGAAGCCCGATGGCATCTTGTCTTAGAAGAGCTGCAGAGATGAGAGGCGCCCGGGGGATCTGTGGCCCCGGCCTGGCGGGGGGGCAGTGGGTCCTCCGGGGTCCCGGAGCGACGCGCGGAGAGCAGGCTTGGAGGGACCCACACTCCCAAGCCCAAGAGCCGGAGAGCGGCGGGGCTCCCCGGGATCTGGTGGAGCACGGCTGCGGAGGGGGAAAAAGTTGCGAGGAGCCACCACCACTTCACTCCGGCCCCCGCCACGGGTGACGCCCTTCGCAACACTCATTGGCCGGCAGCCCGCACACCCCAAAAAAGGCCCCGCCCCCTCCCTGTGCCTGGGGCTGCTTGGCTCCTGGTGGAAGGGGCGGGGCGCTGGCCGGGGCCCCGCCCACCCACGTGTCGAGACTCCTCCCCCCCGCATCCTAAAGCCTGGGGCAACAGCGCAGGGCGCGGCGGGGCCCACCGTGGGGTGCAGAGGAGGGGGTGGGCCAGCGTGCGGGCCCCGGGCGCGGGGAAAGCGCCGGTGGCGGGACCCGTGGTGCGGGAGCGGGCGCGCGGGGTGGGTGGGAAACAATGCCCCGAAGTAACCCAGAGTGGCTATTTTTAGTTCCCACGTTAAGGCTGGGCCAAATGTCAAGTCCCGGGTGTCCCGGCCTGTCCCGGGCGGGGAGGAGGGTAAGGAGATGGAGCCTTAAAGAGTCCGCACATGCTTCCCGCAAAGGGTTTACCCAGGCCCTAGAAAACTCTGTTCCTAGTGGGTACGGTGGCCGTGCGCCGTGGCCAGGGCACTGTCCATCGGCCCCACGCTGGTTCCTGGAGGTGGCCCCAGGGACAGGTGCTCACGCCGACGGCGCCACCCAACCCTGAGGTCCCCGAGTCGCCACGCATGTGCTGAGCGCGTGGATGACACACTCTGCATAGCCTGCTCCAGCCCGGCTTCCCGGCTAAGCCCCAGTGGAGAGGGCATGACCCCGGGTTGGCAGGTCTCCAGAAGCTGGAGACCCGAGGGTACCCAGAGCGCAAGTTCAGAGAACCGGTCTCAGAAGTGCGGGGCTGCAGTGCCACCTGGAGGGAGAGCGAGGAGCCGCCGCCGATCAGACGAGTTCAGCCTGCCTGGAGTGGCTGGCCATTCTCCTCCCTAAGACTTAGATTACACCCAGCCCAGGTGCCCAGCTACCTCCTGGATGGGACAGTTGATTTCATATGACCGGCTTAACCAGCTTGTCTAAACGTGGTGGTCCTCCTGACTCGTTTACTTCTTTATCCCGGTTAGTTAGCCTATCTTCCCCATGGTGAAAGTCATGCTTCATTTCTCCTGTCCACCGCACTCCATTCTCTCCCTCTCCTTCTCCATCTCCCTCTCCCTCTCCCTCCCACCTCCTTCTCTCCCTCCCCCCCCTCTGTACCTTAAATTAGGCACTATTTCTCAAGGCTAGCACTCTACCACTTGAACCACAGTGCCCCTTCTGAGGAATCCAACCCAGAGCTTCATGCATGTTAGGCAAGCACTCTACCACTAAGCCACACTCCCAGCCCTTCCTTAACTTTTTTTGCACAAGGCTGTTGCACTTGCTGGGTCCTGCGGCTCACACCTGTAATCTTAGCTACTCAGGAGGCTGAGATCTGAGGATCATGGTTCAAAGCCAGGCGGCAAAGGAAAGTCCATGAGACTCTTATCTCCAATAAACCACTAGAAAACCAGAACCAGAAGTGGCATTGTGGCTCAAGAGATAGAGGGCTAGCCTTGAGCTGAGGAGCTGAGCATCCAGGCAGTGTTCAAACCCTACGACCAACAAATAATAAATAAACAAACAAATAATAAGGCTGTTGCACTTGAACCACAGTGCCACTTCCAGCTTTTTTGGAGTAGTTTATTGGACATAAGAGTCTCACATAGGGCTGAGAAGGTGGCTCAGTGGTAGAGTGCTTGCCTTGCATGCATAAGGCCCTGGGTTCGATTCCTCAGCACCACATACACAGAAAAAAAAGCCGGAAGTGGTGCTATGGCTCAAGTGGTAGAGCATTAGCCTTGAGGTGAAGAGCTGAGAGACAGCGCCCAGGCCCAGAGTTCAGGCCCCACAACCGACAAAACAAAACAAAACAACAGCAAAAAAAAAAAAAAAGAGTCTCACATACTTGCCCAGGCTGGCTTCAAACCAGGATCTTCAGATCTCAGCCTCTTGAGTAGCTAGAATTGCAGGCGTGAGCCCCTGGTGCCAGGTTTCCACTTCCAACTTTTTTTTTTTTTTGGTCGGTCGTGAGGCTTGAACTCTGGGCTTGGGCGCTGTTCTTGTGCTCTTCAGCTCAAGGCGCTTGAGCCACACACCACTTCCGGTTTTCTAGCGGTTTATTGGAGATAAGAGTCTCACGAACTTTCCTGCCCAGGCTGGCTTTGAACCACAGTCCTCAGATCTCAGCCTCCTGAGTAGCTAGGATTACAGGCGTGAGCCACAAGGTGTCTGGCTCCACTTACAACTTTTTGAAGGTAAATTGGAGATAGAAGTCTCATGGACGGGGGCTGGGGAGGTGGCTCAGTGGTAGAGTGCTTGCCTTGCATGCATGAGGCCCTGGGTTCGATTCCCCAGCACCACATAAGCAAAAAGAAAAAAGCCGGAAGTGGCGCTGTGGCTTAAGTGGTAGAGCTCTAGCCTTGAGCTGAAGAGCTGAGGGACAGCACCCAGGCCCAGAGTTCAGGCCCCATGACCGGAACCCCCCGCACCCCCCCCCCAAAAAAAAAGAAAAGTCTCATGGACTTTCCTGCCTGGGCTGCTTTTGGAACCATAATCCTCAGATCTCAGCCTTCTACGTGGTTAAGATTACAGGTTTGAACCACCAGCACCTGGCTTGTTTTTTCAAGTTACACACACACACACACACACACACACACACACATTTCCCTTCCCACTCCACCTCCCAACCCTCACCCTCTTATGCACCACCCCCATATTCCCCAGAGATTGACCTCAAGGCCTTCTGCTTGCTAGGCAGGGGCTCTACCACATGAGCTACACCCCAGAGCCCAAATATTTATTTTAGTAAGACAATATGAAGAAGAGATGAATCGGAAAGGACGAAATGTTTCCTTCTTCCCATTCAGGAAATGCAAATGAAGACTCCAACTCTGGAGTTTTTAATTACACACACTGGTAGTCCTGGGACCTAGGCATAGTCCCTGAGCTTCTTTTGCTCAAAGCTAGTGCTCTATCACTTGAACTACAGCTCCACTTCTGGTTCTTTTGGTAGTTTAGTGGAGATAAGAGTCTTAGACTTAGCTGGGTGCTGGTGGCTCATGCCTGTAATCCTAGCTACTCAGGAGGTTGAGATCTGAGGATCACAGTTCAAAGCCAGCCTGGGCAGGAAAGTCTGTGAGACTCTTTTTTTTTGTCGGTCGTAGGGCTTGAACTCTGGGCCTGGGCGCTGTCCCTCAGCTCTTCAGCTCAAGGCTAGCGCTCTACCACTTGAGCCACAGCACCACTTCCAGCTTTTTCTACTTATGTGGTGCTGAGGAATTGAACCCATGGCCTCATGCATGCCAGGCAAGCATTCTACCACTGATCCACCTTCCCAGCCCCATGTGAGACTCATTTTCAGTAAACCATCAGAAAACTGGAAGTGGCATTGTGGCTCAAGTGGTAGAAAGGTAGAAAGCTAGCCTTGAGCTGAGGGACAGTGTCTAGGCCAGGGTTCAAGACCCAGGACTGACCAAAAAAAAAAAAAAGTCTCAGGCTTTCCTGTCCAGGCTGGCTTTAAAACCTCAGTTCTCAGACCTCAGCCTCCTGAGTAGCTAGGCTTATACAGGTGTGAGCCTCCAGCACCTGGCTACATTGAAGTTTTTACATTCATCTAATTTTTCTTCACTTGTACTATGGCCATTTTAGTCTAGACAACCAAGACCTTTTTCCTTTAAGAGGAGGGCAGAGTGCAATTTTCAACTAACCTCATCACTCTGTTCACTCTTTCTGTTAAATTTTTTTTTCATCTCGGATCTCTATCTTACCTGTCCTTTCCTCAAATGGACAATCCATTCCTGGTCTTCCCCTTCTCCTTCCTATCCCCCCCTCCCCCCACTGCAGTCGTGGAGCCTGAACTCTGGGCCTGGGCACTGTCCCTCAGCTCTTCAGCTCAAGGCTAGCACTCTACCACTTGAGCCACAGCGCCACTTCTGGCCTTTTTCTTTTTGCTTATGTGGTGCTGAGGAATCAAACCTAGGGCCTCAGGCATGCAAGACAAGCGCTCTACCACTGAGCCACCTTCCTAGCCCCCCCTCCCACCCCCCCCGGCCCCTTCTTGCTCTGTAGCCTAGGCTGTCCTAGAACTTGAGATTCTCCTTTCTTAACCTCTAGAGTACTGGGATTACAGGTTTGTGTTATTTGTTTTGCTACACAAATACTTACAGTATGAAATGCAAAGCAAACACAAAAAACTCCTTATTCAAAAATAAAAATGCTGTGGGCACTAGCCTGTAATCCTTGCTACTCTGGAGCCTGAAATCTGAGAATCTTGACTCAAAGCCAGTCCTGTCAGAAAAATCTGTGAAACTTTTTTTCCTTTTCTTTTTCTTTTTTTTCTGGCCGGTCATGAGGCCTGATCTCTGGGCCTGGGCACTGTCCCTCAGCTCTTCAGCTTAAGGGCAAGCGCTCTACCACTTGAATCACAGAGACATTTCTGGCCTTTTCTGCATCTGTGGTACTGAGGAAATGAACCCAGGGCTTCAAGCACTCTACCAGTAAGCCACACTCCCAGCCCTCCAATTAACCACCAAAAAGCTGGAAGTGGAGCTATGACTCAGTGGTAGAGAGCTTACCTTGAGCACAAAAGCTCAGGGAAGCACATAAGCCTTGAGTTCAAGCCCCAGAACTAGTGCGCGCGCACACACACGTTCCCCTCCTCTGAGAAGTCTTAGTGGACTTTCTTATAGAATGCAAAGTCTTAGTGGACTTTCTTATAGAATGCCTGTGTCCTCACATGCAATCTATTATGATCATTTCTTTCTTTCTTTCTTTCTTTTTGAGTCCAGTCGTGGGGCCTGAACTCTGGCCTGGGCGCTGTCCCTCAGCTCTTCAACTCAAGGCTAGCGCTCTACCACTTGAGCCACAGCGCCACTTCTGGCTTTTTTCTTTTTGCTTATGTGGTACTGAGAAATCGAACCCAGGGCCTCATGCATGCAAGGCAAGCACTCT